TCTCTGAGCCAGTTTTACTAGATGGATTATTGAAAGATTGGCTTCAGCAATTAAGTTGAGAAGCAGAAGACTTAATCCTCAGTGGCACTATAAGTACTTCTCTAAAATTATGTAAATTGAATGCTTACAGAGTGTGACGAGTTTTTTCTCCCAAGTTCACGTGTACCCATATGGTACCTTGAGTCATGCTTATAAATTACTGCTGCGGTTGAGCTCATGTATTTTTCTGCTTTGATAACAGCAGTACTTACACATATGTGAAAGGAGAAAGTAGAAGGACGTGGGTGGACCTATGGCAGTGTTTGGTGGATGGACACCAAAGGTGAAAAGAGGAGGAGAAAAAACCAACCAAACAAAAAACCGTCCCACACCCAAAGGTATACTGTTGGATGGATATTCTGTGCCTCTAAGCTCTAGCATGCATGTTCCTCTTGTGAGGAAGATAACTATGTACAAAGTTGTAGAAAGGTGGTGTGTATATTGCAGAACGGCTTTTAACTTGAAGAGGAAAAAAATTGTATTCTTGTACCTGTTGTTAATAACTAATACTAAAATCTTTCAGAAGGGGTAGTAAATTCAGAATTTAATCAACCCCTAAACTGTTCAAGATTGGAATAAGTCCTGATGCGCAAGACAGACTCCCTTGCGTTTGCTTTGAAGCATCTGCTTCTGTGTCTTGGAGCCAAGTTCTGTGACTGGATAGCTGTTAGATAAATTTAATAAAGCATGACACTTGCAGACCAGGTTACGATTCTTTGGGGATGTTTCCAGCTTATTTAGAAGAAAAGGTTAAAATCATGAAGTGGCAAACATTGTATTCTTTCATATTGTTAATGGTGATAGTACTGCATTAAACTAAATGACCTGCAATAAATTGTTTCAATTTTTTTGAGCAAGAATAATTGCTTTTTAAGAGAAGTCTAACATTAGTTTTTTTGCAATGAACCATGCATTTTTTTAAATGTATTTGGAGAAGTCAAATTTTAAATTTCATTGGTAATTTATCGGTGTCATTGGGACTAGCTTGTCTGGAATGAAAAAAGATTTCCTGCTGTTTGGTGTTTGTTGTGGCTGTCGTACTTAAAACTGAGAGAAATTGGAATCTGTTTGACTTTTCATTCTGAAGTGACTTTGGAACCAAGATTCTCTATAGCAGTCTTTCTGTACGACAGACTGTTATGGAAGTCAAGTTAGAGAAAATCACTTTAGTGATCCTTTCACCTAAAGGGTAGCTATTTCGAAGAGGAACACTTGCTGTTTAATAGTTCATATCACACTAAACCATTTTCATAAGTGGAGAATAGCATCTGTCTTGGAAATATTCTGGAGATCCTATGCAAAATACAATTACATAAGTTAAAGCATTGGGGTTAATCCTGTTACTTTTGTTAAAATGTCAGAAATGGGGTGGGTGGGTGGGTGTGGTGGTGTTGGTTGATTTGGTTTTTAAACACACTTTTCCTGTGGAATATGCATGACCTCTGCAAGAAAGACAGTTGCTTTCTCTGTCACTTAGTGATGACCAATGATCCTCTTAAATGCCTTATTTAAGGCTGAGCCTATGGCTGTTTGGATTGTAGGAGCTGAAGGTACTCAGGCAAATCTTTGCAAAGTGCTTCCCTAAGTTTCGAAGTAACACAAATTCCTGATTGAAGAAGTCAGCTTTGTTACAGCAGTCATATTTACTAAATGTGAACACCTGCTTATATATACACCAGTAGCACTTGCCAAGATTTCTACTTGTGCAGAGTACAGTGAAATATTGTGCCTTAGGAGAGGGGGAAAAAACCCTCCTGAGAGAGGATGGAGAGAGAAAATCCACATATTTGGTTGGTCTAAGATTTGTTGTCACCAATGTTTAGACGATTGCAATGCAAATACGAGGCTCCTTAGTTGAGAGGCTCCCAAAGGAGTGAAAGGAAAAGCTCTTAAAGTCCACATGTCCTACTGACTAGTTTTACAAATATTTAGAATTCAAGCTAGCATGCAAATTCTTTTGACATATCTCAATGGCTTGATATTTATTTAATTAAAAAATCAGCTGGCGTCCAGCACTTTCTGTTACTTTCAGGAAGCGCTGTAGAAAGCATAATGAAAAAAAAATTAACCTCTTCAGTTTGGAAGAAATCAGCTGGGCTCCAGAGTGTTTGCAAATGGAGTATTCATAGGGGATTGTAGCCAGCTGCTTACCGTGTTGCTGCAGAGAATGTGGCTTTGGCTGCACAAGTGGACCCATGCTTGGGCAATGTAACTTTGAAACTGAATGTGAAAACTGACAATAAATATTTTGCTAAAACTTACTTTTTAAAGCACTATTTGTTTTGAGATTTATTGTAATTGAACTTAATCTGGGATATTGCAGGAAATCTGGAAAGTATGCAGACTTTTTTTTTTCCAAAAATAGCTTGAACCTGTTCCGATCCCATCACACTCACGTTTATGTAGAGTTGGATTAAATGGGCGGCTTTGGGGCTACAGCAAGGTGGGAGAATAGCTTGAACAGAAGAGAAAGTGGAGTGACTCACCTCAGGAGAAAGGGCTAAGGGTTTAGGTTGCTATCAGAGGGTTGCTGCAGGTCACTCAAGGGAGGTACACATTAAGTTAGTGGGATTTAAAGGCAGGGCTCCAGTTCCCTGTTGCTTCTCTTCTCCCTTGGGTGGGAGGCACATGCTCATCTTGGAGTGAGCGAGCCCCAGCTCAAATGGGTGAGTATAGAAAAAGAACTTGGGGCAGACGGAGAGACTTGAACTGTGTGAACTCTAAGAAACAGCAGTTTAAATGTATGATGTTGCTCAAAGGTTCAGGGAAGGGACTTGAGTCAAAACATGGGCCCCGGGCCAAAAGCATTGCTGCTGGTTTCTGTGATAGTAGGGCACGTGCAAACCAGGAACTGCTGAGCTGAGATATGTGTGTACAAGCTCAGCCTTGATTCTTCTATCTTTAAATGATGATCCGGTATCCCTGTATCATATGCAAGCCTTTTTTTTTCTTTTGTATTCACTGGCTTTCTTTCAAAAGTAATATGCTGAGTCCTGTACTTTCTTTGAAGTAGCAAAATTTGTATTCAGGTAGGATGCGCTCGTTCTGTTTTTATAAATAAATAGCCAAAATTTTGGAAATCCTCTTAAAGGATTGCAAGATGTAATCAATTTAATGCTTCTCCACAGAAACCCCTGGCACAAGCTTCCCTCTTAAACTTAGACTGCTGTTGAATCTCTCTTCCGTCTGGTGGTCCACATGGCGAAACAACCTCTCCAAAAGCTACAGTCAGCGTCTTCAGAACTTTTGCTAAATGAGACATTTGATATTATTAAATGTCTCTCTCCTTTGATAAGATGTAAAAGGAGGCAGTAGGAACCAGACTGCTGCATAAGAACAGAGCTCCCTGGGTACATGATGGCAAAGCTATGGTTGTGCAGAGTTATTATAAGCCTAGATGTCCTGAGTCAGTCTAAGGTTTCGTCTAGTCTGGTGTTCTGTCTTCAACCATAGCCAATAGTGACTATGGAGGGAGGAGTACTAGACTGGAGGCAGTGTATAATGGTGTTTTCCCAGCCTCAAACAACTTCTGAACGGGAGATTTTTTGAGTTAGAGGTGGTGTCTCACTGAATTAGGTAGCCCTCAGAAGATATATGTATTTTTTTTCTTCCCCCTACCACATTGTTTGTTCTTGGAATTCATGGAAATTTCTGCACCTGGGGCAGAGAAATGCTGCAGCTTAAGTAATTGTTGGGAAGAGGTACTGTTTTTTGATCATGCAAGCTTCTACTCTTTGTTTGGCACCCTTTTCATTCATGCAACCAAAAGCTGCAATGTTTGCATTTGTCAGGTAGCCTAAGCGGGTCACTATTAAAGCAATTCTTGCATAGTCACTGTGAAACAGATTATTATGTCTTTGCCAGAACTAAGTCACGAGTTGCTTCTGGGTAGTGGTTTCCATCTTCTGATATAGCTGTTTCTGTCCTTATACCTAATTCTTAACCTCTAATGCCAGCTCAAAAGTAATTAAGTAACACAGTGTATAAGGCTTTACTTTCACTAATTACGTAGTTACTTATTTCTTCTCAGAAGGTGGAAGATTATTGAAACTGATGTCCTGGAAAGATGTCAGATGTTTAGTAACGTTCTTGGCAGGTAGTTATCAGCATCTTGGTGATTTTTTTTCTTTTTTTTCTTTAAATTGTTTATAGAGGTGGAAAGTGCTGATAAGCAGCAGGGAAAACTAAAATCTTCTCGTTCTTCCCACAAAACAGATATAACACGGCTAATAATCTAAAGGGGTTTTAGGGTCTCTCTCCTCCAACTTCAGCAGGAGTTGCTTCAAAAAACAGTTGTCTTTGTGTTTATATTTTTAGCCTTCCCCCTGTCCCCACGTGGTTAACTGGAACCAGCCATGTTATTTTACAAAGATCAACAAATTTATACGTGACAGTGTTTTTGCTTGCTTGGTTCAGGTTAGCTGTGCGGTAGTGATAGCACCTGTGCTTAATGTGGCAGGGTTTGAAGCTCCAGGGAGTGGATGGTACGTAGGTTGATGGTACAGAGGGATTTAGTTGCATGACTTTCTCGTCAAAAGCAGTCATGTGCCTAGGTAGCTGTGCGTATTCAGTTGGAAAATATATTTTTGAATAGCATGTCAACTTAACATCCGTGCTTAAATTGTGAATTCCCTGTAGCTTCCCTCACTGGTAACAGCCTTGATGTTGATATAACTGCGACAGCCTGTTCTTGTTGAGTGAGATTTATGAAAACCCAAGTGAGACGAGGACCGAAGTACAGCATAGTAACTTTTAACCTCCTTGGGTGAGGATGTTGGTGTTCTAACTTTGTTGACAGTCTTTTGAATGCCTTCCTATATGCCTTGGTTTTCTACTTTTCGGTAATTGTTCCAGAGAGTGAATTAAAGCCTTACCGGTCACTAATTTAGCAGAGGTCTGTATATTCCTTATTTGTCTCAAATAATTCAAATGTTTCTTTTTTTTTTTCTCTCCCCTTGAAGAAATGAAAGTTTAGAAAAGGATTTACCAAATAAAGAAGATGGGAGCAAATAGCAGCAGCATCAGCGAACTTCCAGAAAATGAGTACTTAAAAAAGTTATCAGGAGCAGAGCCAATCTCTGAGAATGACCCATTCTGGAATCAGCTATTATCTTTTAGCTTTACCGCTCCAACAAACAGGTAAGTTTATACTTGGTGAAGCGTTAAACCTTGGTGATGTAAAAATCTGAAAAAAGTTTTCCTTTATTTCTGTTTTAGGTGGCAAGGGAATAAAGGCCTGTGTAGAATAGACTTATTTCTAATTTTGGAATCTCTTTCCACCACATCTCCCATTTCTGTGGGTTTATTTCTTCCTCGTAATAGCTGTAACTGCTATTTGCTCTTCTAGCAGCTAGAAAAGATGAGAAGTAGGTCTCTCATGTTCCTGTGTGTGTTTATTATTTGTTTTGGTTTTTTTTTTTGAATGAGCCTCCGTTGTGCTTTTCCTCTGAAACACTTATTGTTTCATGCACTAACAAGCTCAAGTAGAGGTGGGTTACAGGACTAATCCTTCTGGCCTTGTCATCGCAAACTTTTATTGCATTGAGCATCTCCCATGAGTTAATTTAGGTTAGCTGTTGAGTTTCTTCATCTTTATCTGTATGGCCTTAACTTTTTTCTCCTATTTTTACCTTTTAAAAGAAGATAGTTTCACATGTTATCTGTAAAAAGTGTTTTCTAAGTATCTCTAAAATTTGTGTGCTAACTTCAAGGTCATAAACTTTCTCTTGGGATGATGTGGTCCATAGCTCTACAGTACTTCCTCCAAAATTATAAAATGTTACCGATAGCTAACCTGAAATGTGACTTCATCAAGTTGGTTTTTCTCTTGCGTATCTTTTTGCTCTAGCAAGTAGCTTAGATAGAAACAGAATTAATATTTCTGAAAGGATCCGTAGCGCATCTCCAGAAATACAAAATAAAAGCCCTTGTGACTTCACTTAACTGACTTTTTAAAATAGCTCTTTAATAACAATTCGTAATGAGGTATTGTTTACATGTTGTATGAGTTACCTATGTGCGGTGTCTTAGATGCTATGCACGCTAGCGTTTAAAAGGCCAAGCGCAATTTTTTTTTTTTTTTGCAACAATTAAGAGCAGGTCAGATAAAGGGTCTTTCTTGCTTGCACTAGTATGCTTGTGAGTAACTGAAAATTGAGATGGCAGAGAAAATGGTTAATGAGGAAGAGGAAAGATCTGTGGCTCCTGTATGGGGAGAATAGTCAGGAGGCAGCAAGACGTTAAGGTATTGTAAAGGAGGGGTGTAAAGGAATTTTTGGCACCAGATGAAATAGCAGTCTTTAAGTTCTCTGAGGGTGCAAGATCTTGCTTACAGTCTACTCATGATTAATAAGATGGACAGTGTTCTAAGACGTCATGTAATATTGCATTGGGGCTTTTTAGGGGGAAGTAGTCATGTATCAAAAAGGAGCAATTTCTTTTCAGGTGTTCTGCTGCGCCCCTGTTCCCCACCCCCACCAAAGTAAACGAGTCTTTAAGAGCTTATTTTGCAGCTTTTCTTGTGCATGTTTCATGGAGTCAGACCCACTGTACACTAAGTTTGTTTTAAAATAATTATAAAGGGAAACTGATCCAAAAGTAGATTGAAAGTGTAATTAGCTGAACACCAGATGGTGCTCTTGCCTGGCAGCTAGAAGAGAAATATTTTTAGAAGCGTAGTTCTGTCTTCTATGCTGCTTAATAATTGGAAGGAAACAGAAATTTCCCATGAAGTTGCATCTACCTGGGAGAGAACCATTTGACAGATGGGGTCAAACACTGTTGGCTGCAGGACACCCTCATCAGCCATCGTCTAAATCGGATGACCTTGCCTGCAGGAACGGAACAGTAGAGGTCAATGTTCGTTTTAGAGACTGAAAGATTATGAAATATCATGTCAACTCTGTTTTGTTATAATGAGACCTGAGTGTAGGTCATCCTTCTGACAGGAGCAAGATGGTAGTTTTTGATTATTGTGGAAAGGAGCCAAGTTTCTTGTCAAACAAGACAGAATTTAAGGTTCTCCTCTTCTTTCAAATATACTTTGTTCCATTAATCTGTTGCTAAATTAGTATGTGTCTGGCAGGTGATTGTTTGCAAGTTATTTGTTCCTCTACTATTAGATATGATGAATATCTGCCATGTTAGAATCAGTAATTATTTCCTTTGTAGGACCTAGGGAAGGAGCACAAGGCCTTTAGGTAGCCAGCCATCTACCAACACTTAAAAGTCAGAGTCTAGAATCTCTTAGGCAGTTTTTCTCCCTCTTTTCTGATTGTCTGGGTTTGGCAAAGAGGAGGAGGCCGTAGAAAGAACGACATGCATGTTTTTTGCTCGTTTAACTATCTGGGAAGCACAAAATGGCAGCAGCGTGTGAGGGGAGGCCATGGTGGATTGCCTCCTCCTGGCAAAGTTGACTGCAACCTCATCCTCATTCACAAAACCTCACCCATAGTTTGGAAACAGTATCTGCAAGGACAAGACAAGAAAGCGTACTTGCGATATGTTTAAGGGAAACTTGAATCAGCGTATGTGTAAGTAAAGTTCATGTTTCAACACACTTCTGTGTGTGCTTTGTCTCTCATGAGGAATATTTGAATAGCACTTTTGCTTTAAGCGCTCTTCTGGATTAATCCAGGTACTTGCTGATCACAGCTTCCAAAGTAAGATCTCACAGGTTGCCAAACTGAATTGGACCTTCTGAGGAACCATGCTGGTTTAATCCCAAAACTTGGAAGCCCGAGGCCTAGGTCTTGGGAGTTAGTGAATTACCAGATTTCTACTCTGAGGGAGATGAAGGCATGATACCTACGTGATCCATCAACGGTGCTACTCTTTGCTCTTCTGTTTTTCTTCATTTTTTGTTTTTTCCTTTTTTTAGCACTTTGTACTATTTTTTTTGTTTGCCCTGTCTTCTTTACTGGGCTTATTTTTCAGTCCAGTCAAATTCTTGATCTGCTCCTATAAAGGACAGGAGGTAGTTTGTAGGTGGGAATAAACTTTGCCAAGCGTCTGTACTACTGACTGCAAGGTTGCTGGGTTTCTGTGTTACTGTCTCTGTCAGCAATGTGATGCAAGATACTCTTGCCCTTGCACTATCCCTTCAGGTGTTTGTAGGGGTCTGCTCTGGACTTCAGGAACTGATCCGCCTGAAAAATAACCTAGCAAAGAGAAAAGATTATTTTTTTCAGCCAGGTTAATTCCCTAGAGTGATTCATAGCATGGCGCCACAAAACAATTCTGCTGGTACAATGAAGGAGTGTTGGGGGCATCGCATCCAAAAAAATGAACGTGTAAGCACATGGTCAAAACAGAGCTATGTTCTGGGAGTGTAATTTCCTGCTTTCCTGGGTCCCATTGCACCTCATGGTGTTAGTTTTATTAATAACAAAGCAAATATTAGGAAAGAATGTTAAGGAAGGGGTGGAAGTAAGTCTGGTCTGTGTTTCACAAACCTTGATTATGAATCAGTCTCCAATAATGAGAGAAATGAGGAGCCGGAAGTGAATCCGTACTCACTGCCCATAACTCCCCCTGGCCAGGAGTGATAGATGGTAACAGCCGGAGCAAATCTCTGGTATTTGGCAGGTAAAGTCACTGGGGCCTTACAGAATTTAGGAGTGGTAGGAGGTAATATATGCGTATATATGCATATATGGTATTAAATAGTGAAGTGACCAGCAATTTTATTTTAGGCTGCCTAATGCTTATTTCACTGTGAAAGGTGCATTGTGACCTTGCCTTTAGAGAGGCTCTAACAACTGTAGCATGCCACAGATACTGAGCAGGTAAAAAGCCCTTGGGCTGTGGAAGTGTCTTCTGAGGAATTCCTGTTTTCAGCCCTCAGGTACCTGGTGGTCTAACTTCACAGTCCCACCACTTCATTTTTTCTCTTCCTTCCATATTTATTGCACAGAACGGACTCATTGGGGGAGGGGGTGCTGGTTTAAGATCTTATTAATCCTCTGAAATCTTCCACTTCCTAAATGTCAAGCAGTTGACATATCAATCTTGATAGTGTTTGGATATTAAAAAAAAAAACAAACCCTCATAACGCTTCAGGATGGCTTTGTTCTTATAAACACGAGCTGTGAGGTTTACTTTGGAGTCTTTGCTCTCAATTTAGGCAGACCGGTGCGTTTGTCTCGTATGAGTTGCTACAGAGAATGCAGCCTCCTCCTTAGCAGTGTTGTTAGTTACAATACTTTCACGATGGAAAACTTAAAACAGAGTTAACTAACACAGAACTTAAATCATATGCTGAAATCATATGCTTAATATTTACTGTTCCACTTTGTTCCTTCCCTGGAGTTTTTAATGAGTGGCTGGTTGAAGAATAGTGTGCATGATCCTTTAATGGAAAGACATAAAAACGAACAACTTGTATTTTGCCTTAATATGGTGCATTTTTAAATTGATACAATAAATTATGTGCAGCTTTTTATTCTTTGACATCTTTCCTCTGAACAGTCCATTAAAGTCAGCACTCCCACAGTATGATTTTACTGAATGGGCTGATTCTTCTGTTTTGTATTCAATGGCAAGGGAAAAAGCTTTGCTTAAGCAAAGGAAAAAACTGACCGAGAAGCTTCTCTCTTTCTTTTCTCCTCTTTCAGAGAGGGCGGTTGTCTCCTACAGTTTGGGCCTTATTCTTACCATATTAAGGCTACGTGTCGTCTACCTTGTAGGTGTGTTTTTAATGACACTTTGTATGCAAAATATTCCTGCATGTTGCTCTCTTTCAAAAACCGTAGTCACTGCACCTCTAAAACCTCTTATATTGTGATGCCTTTAAAATAAAAGCAGATAAAACCATTTTCTTTGAAAACTCTGCTGTCAAGAAGCAACTTTCGCTGTCTTTTATTAATTACAGTTTGGCTGAAGTCTGTGGGACTGATTGCTGATTATTCTGATGTAAATCCAAGATAAGGCAACTGAAACAGATTCAACCACTCTAAATTATTATACTGTTTTTTCCCATTTTCTTTTTAGAAGTAATGTTTTTCCTCAACGTGTGCCAGAATAGCTTACTGCAGAATCTGACTTTCTGGTAGTATGAAGCCAAAAATAAAAATCTGCAGTGAACGAAAACCGTTTTTTTTTTTTTTGAGCAATAGACTGCTTAATTTACCATCCTTCCC